TTTGAAAAAATTCGATAAAAATCCAGCCCTTTCTCGACAGAGTGGGGCAGTAAAGGGTAAATAGTGCCCGAGATAGTAATGTTTGACAGTTTATGGAAACTAGCATCGGCTCCGAGAACTGAAAAAGACTGCGCTTCAATAGAAACAGATGTAGAAAGTTAGAATTCCAGGAATTTCTCAAAGGTAGAAAGAAATCTACTTGTTCAGTCGCTGGAAATTATGATAGTAAGGCACTAGTTATAGCATTTGAAGTAGGCGGAGTTTGGCGCATTGGCGGGGCTTGTGTGCAAAGCGCACTCTGTATATGGCCAACTGTATACGAGAATAATTGAATTGATGGATCGAGTGTGAAGCTTAAAGTGTGGGTTTCCGCATAACCTCTGTGGCCCTTCACGAATGGGGTATTTCAGGAAGGCATTAGTCGAACATTACTCCCGCGCCCAGGAAAAAAATGTAGAAAGAGTGGGTGCACAAACCCCACCCACACGCCTACTCCGCCCATTTAGACTGGTTTGGTGGAGTAGAGTCCTTGCATTAAAATTTTCAACAAATAAAATTGAATAACTCCTTTCTAATTCCAAAAACACCCTTCATTTCCTGCTCATTGTATCTATTTAGTACTTGAACCATGTCTTCTACACCTTCTGAATGTGACGATAGCTTGTATAAACTGTATTTCCGCCCGGCACTGACACTTACAACAACAGAAATTCACCTAATGAGAGCCCTTCTCTGTGGTTTTCCCAGTCTAGAAATTCAAAAATAATTAGGATTTAACCAATGAGTTTCTTTGACGGACTCAACTAAGGCTATACGAAGCTGATGAATGAAGGATTAAGCGTTTATCGTTAACAACAGTTATCTTTGTTTACCACTTTTACCCCGCTGATCAAATTTGTAGAAAATTTGCCTGTAAATCCCGTACAATCAAGTGGTCAGCCGATTCATACTACAACTGATTCTATCTACTCTTTCATCCCAAGTTTGCTGAGGCATCACTTCGTGAATCGAGAAAATTGTGTCATTTTCTGTTCTCAGCCGTGTAGAAGGTGTAATTACCAGCTAAAAAAAAGTAAGGAGTGGTTCGAAAAAAGTAAGAGGTGATACAGAATTCAAACTTACATTTTTGGAATCTGCAGTGATGGTGGAGAAATGATCTTCTACTGAATCTTACTTGGAAATCATAAGGGGCAGTAATTGACGATAAAATCTTTCTTGAGAATGGCAACTCGAAGTCATGACTAAGTTCGAATATTTTTTTATATTCAGATTCTAGTTAGCTACAAATTGATATTGCTAAAGCCAAAAAGTACATTTACCCTATTCAAAGGTTTTTCCGCTGAAATAGTAAAAAGACCTTTGAAAAAAAAAACAAATGTACTTTTGTTACATTTCTGAGTAGTATAGTTATACCAAATTCGCCTGAGAGGGATAGATAGTGAACAGCGAAAGTACGAGGTAATAACCAATAATCTCCGGATAGTGTACATAAGGACCCACTGCACCACTCTGCGCATTTACAGGGCCACCCGATTTGCCGCGCGATCGCAGCACTCACCGTACGCGGCAAATTCGTGCTCGGACCTAACAGCACACACTGGAAAATGGTCCATGTCGCAATGAGCAATTAAAAACAGCTGCTGCAGCAAATCCTAGGGCTACATCCACAAATCAAATCAATATCTAGTATGGCCGATTCCATTATTACTATTTTTCCCACTAAAAATAAGTTACATGCAAAACACATTCCTTATATGAAATCCGCTATGCGGGCCTGTTGTTGATACCGATCGATACTCATCGATTGAATTGAGTTCCCCATGCCAAGCGGTTCGCCCTAATGGTATAGAAGTTGCTTCATAGGGGGCATGAGCCTCTCCTGCTTGAAAATAAAGGTGTAGACGCTGACTTTGACTAACTCAACACATGACATGGTAACTAACTTGTTGAGGTAGAATTGTAGGTTAGAAATACAGATGTGAAAATATTTTTCACAAAGCAGTATGATATTCCGAGCTATTGAAACCGTGCAGTGATTTCCAGCAAAGTACAGCACTGAGATGCTCTTGTAGATGGGAATAACAGACGTACCTGGACCTCCCATTTACAATTACTTCGGGAAAAATGCGTTTTACTATGAAGTACTAGGCAAAGAAAAATCTACGAAACTTTCCCATTTCAGGGAATGAATTTCTACGACGAGAGGGAGGAGTAATTTGGTCACACCAACACAGACTTCTGTGTGAAAATTGAAATTGCATTTTCTGCATGGATTAAACAGCATGGTTTTTTCATCTGCACAGTTCTCCCAAATGCAGAGTCAGAGAGAAATCGAGTGCCTGAGCAATTCATGGAGCTGGGACGGATGCACGTGGAATGTCTTATGAGTTCATGGACACATACTAGTTAGTTCCAGATATCTCTCTAGGGTGGAACGGGGAGCTTTGAAGTTCTTTTCGAAGTCTATCAATCAACCTTTCTCACCTCGAAGACCTAGTTCACTAGTACAAGATAAAAATGATTTCTGAGATATCCTGCAAGGATAAATCTGTGATTCCGAAGAATAACGTGGACCATTGTTGGGCCAAAAGCCGCAAAGCCAGGGCGTAATAAGGGCTCCAAAACCGGTTTGGCTTAGGCAGACACTCAAAGTGGCCGTGTTATGCTGGCCTTGTAACTACTGCACTATTCACAGGACGAGACGAATAGTACGCTTGAATGAGAGACACCCAGACGGCTATCTCGTACAACCCTCCTTCTCGTTACTTTCTTGAAGTCTTATATTTTTTGAAACACAACAATCTTCGAGCTTTCTCCGCCACACTTACACTATTCTGCACAATGGCTTTCATTATTTCACTCGAAATATGGACGTATATCCCCCAAAATTATCACGAACTCTGCGTTTACCCTCTTTGAAACAGGAGACCGATCGGAGTTGATCTAATCAAAGCCAATGTCATACAACCAAATTTCATGGGCCCTTCATTTTTATGTCCCTTTCCCCCACGGATTCCTCTGCATACTTCAGGTATTCCACAATACTCCCCTTTTTCCACGTATGCCATTGCGGCAGCACAGCACTCTTTCTTTTCGGTCCCGCTGATGGAACGCATCCAGGTGAATACATCTGTAGGCACGCTAAATCGTACAAAAACACCCAGGTGAATAAATCTGCAGATACATCCGACGATGTAAAAAGCAGCTGCACTTCTTGTGTATTTAAAGTATTCCTCTCTGAAGCGTTCAGGTGGTGCTGAATCAGGGCTTCTCCGCTCTACGGGCCTTCAGTGAGCACAAAGAGGTGCCTCCTTATGTTCTGTTGTGTTTCCTTTTTTCGCCTATTCCCTATTTTCCTAATTTTTACATTATGTCAGTTCCTGATTCCTACTTCGTTAGTGTTATGTTTTAGTCCCTTAGTCAGCTCAATGGTTATAAAGATAAACATAGAGATACTGGGCTCGACAAT